CAGGAGCTCTCCCCGGGGCTCCGGCCTGGCCCGCAGCCCCCCCCGTCTCTGCTCTCCATGGCACTGCGACCTGTGTCCCCGGCTGTCTGTCCGTCTGCCCAGCTGCCACCCAGCCCTCCATCTGTCCGTCCCTCAGTTCCCTGTCCAGCCATCTCCCCGGCTGTCCCTTAACCCCTCCATCTGTCCTTCCATCCCTCTGTCCCCCGTCCCTCCATCTGTCCATCCCTCCGTCCATCCTGCCATCCCTCCATCCTTCTGCCTGTCCGTCCCTCCATCTGTCCATCCCTCCATCCGCCTTGCCATCCCTCCATCCCTCTGTTCCTGTCCATCCCTCCCTCCGTCCATCCTGCTGTCCTTCTGCCCGTCCATCCCTCCAACTCTCCGCCCCTCCGTCCTTCTCTCCATCTATCCCTCCATCTGTCCATCCCTCCTGCCGTCCCTCTGTCCTTCTGCCCCTCCATCTGTCCGTCCCTCCATCCTCCTGCCTGTCCATCCCTCCGTCCTTCTGCCTGTCCGTTCCTCTGTCCTGCTGCCCATCCGTCCCTCCATCTGTCCAACCCTCTCTCCGTCTATTCCTCTGTCTATCCAGCCCTCCGTCCATCCTGCCATCCCTCCGTCCTTCTGCCCATCCCTCCATCCTCCTGCCTATCTGTCAATCCCTCTATCCTTCTGCCTCTCTGTCCCTCCATCTGTCCATCCCTCCAGCCATCCCTCTGTCCCTCCGTCCATCCTGCCGTTCCTCTGTCCTTCTGCCTGTCCGTCCCTCCATCGGTCCGTCCCTCTCTCCCTCTGTTCCTCTGTCTATCCATCCCTCTGTCCGTCCTGCCATCCCTCCGTCCTTCTGTCCATCGATCCTGCCATCTGTCCATCCCTTCAGCCATCCCTCTGTCCATCCCTCCTGCCGTCCCTCTGTCCATCCCTCCTGCCGTCCCTCCATCCTTCTGTCCATCCATCCCACTCCTGGCAGAGCAACAGGGAACCCGTGGGGACAAGGGGCAGGGGACACACCGCAGGTGACACTGGCACAGGTACAGCCAACAAAACACCGGTTTCCCCCCAAACTTTACCAGTTTGGCCACAAATGGCATCGAGAGGCCTTTCGGGTGACGGGGGTCCGCCGTCCCCTCCGGTGTCACCGTGATGCTCGGCCGCAGCAGGACCTACAGGGACTGACAGGGCCGAGGGGCATTGCCAGCACCGGCCGCCCCAAGGCGACACCAACCACACCACGGCAAGGTGTCCCCCCCAAAAAAAGACTGCGGGGCCCCATTTGCTCCCGCCTGAGTGCTGAGCCGGGGGCCGGGTCCGCCGGGGATGGTGGGCAGGGGCGAGGGGCTCTGGGGTGACGGAGGCAGCGGCAGGGGGGCCATGCAGTCCCCCGGGGGGGGGGGCGGCGGGGGTTT